CCCAGGTCACCTTAGGTCAGGTCACCAGATCACGCCAAGTGACCTCACCTCAGAAAAAAAGAAGAATGCTCGTCATAGCTACACCGATTGATCGATTGCCTTGAAACTTTCAGCGATTGATTAGAGAAACATTATCTATAACATGTATATCTCGGAATTTTGATATCGGTGACCTAAGGTCAGGTCAATTTTGCGACCTCTCCATTATAAGTCAATGGGAGAAATGACCCCTCGTTATGTCCCCGAGGTCATCTCAGGTCACGAATAGAATCTAACAGTTTTTCGCTAATAACTTCTGATAGAGACGTGCTAGAGCGCTGAAAACGCCTTAGATGTGTTCGGCTCGACGTTGCGGATCGACTGATATGCAACATGACCTTTTCCGGTCAGGTCATGACCTTGACCTGAGGTCAAATTTTCAAGTTGACCTTTCAAGGTCAAATTATAGTTTATTCGACGCGTCTCGACGAGAGGAACACGATGGTGGCAAAAGTAATGTCGTGGCTCTATTGAGTCAAAAGTTATTGCCGAAAAAAACGTTTTTCGTAAAAACGGCTATTTTTGGAGTTTTTGCCCTCTGGAGGCTAAACCGTTGACCTGAGGTCAAATCTGAGAACATTACCCAGAAAGGTCTGTAAAAGGGCTATCGAATGCGCTTTTCCGCGGCGCTGTATCTCTATCGGTTCCCGAGATAGCCGTTGGCAGTTTCCAAAATGTTGAAATAGTTGACATTTGACCTTTGGTGACCTCTGGTGACCTGACCTTTGACCTGACCCAAAAAATGACGGAAGTGTTTTCGTCCTTATTTTGGACGTTCTTTTGATTGCCGCTTACCGCGTGTCGCTACGTGGCCCAGGAGCCGAGTTAGAAGGGGGGGGGGGGTGTTCAGACACCCCCCCCCCCGGCCCGGCGCGGAATCTCAGAGCACCGGCCCGGCGCGGGTTAAAAGCACTGTTTTGCTGTTTTAACTATTATGCTGTTTTGACTGCTTTGTTTATTCTATTTTGATCATTTTACATGTAACATGGTTTGTTAACATTAACAGTTTCTTACGGCCCCGGAACGGATTAGCATCAATCTCAGTTATTTTGACATTCGGCAATAATGATAAACATAAAAAATATTATTAGAGGAAAAATGATGAAAGCAACATTCGTCTTTAATTGGCTTAACTACTTTGGGTTTCTCTGGTCACTAGACCCCATGATCACGTCCATTTATAGCAGGGTTATACAACACTTACATTTAGCATTTCAAAAATTATTTCTAAACCTTGATTACTTTCGCCATATCGTCGTCATTGACGGTCGGCTGATTTCCTGGCCATTAATGGCGCCCCTCGTGCGGAGTTTCGCCTGGCTGGCTGCCTAGCGTGATAGAGATGCTAAGCTGTGCGGCACAGTTCTCCACTGTGCCGAACTTTACGTGCCGGCTGACTACTGAGTCGGGATAAGGATTCTTTTCAGACATCCCTAAACTGAATTGTGTTTTCTTGCTTCCTCAGGCTTGCAACTCTGATCTAGACCTGATTCACAATGCCAAATAAGGCAGCGTATCATACCATGTTTTCGTCATATCCATGCCAACTGTCTGCCAAAAATCTAGTCAAGTAGCGCCTTAATAATTGTTCACCAAACTTGGGTTTGGTACCTATGAAAACATATGTTTTGGTATGATTTGATGATCTGCGCTGCATCTCAATTTTTTTTTTTTAAGGATACAAAGTACACGCTTCGACTTATAAAAATGGATATGAACACTCAGAACGTGAGTTTATGGCGGTTGTTTTGTTGAGTTTTGTTACATTGTTAGGCGAAACAAAAATAAAAAATCAATGCACATATCCGGGCACATATATCATCATACATACTGGTTATTTTTACATTCAATCTGTCGTTTCTGAAGCTGATCGAAGGTTTGATAACGTCTCTGGGCTCTTCCTAGTTCTGAAACCACATTTCATTTAACACGATCGAAAATAAATGACCCTCTCCACCAGTTGACGACTGATATCAGCAAAAACTTCAAAAGTGAATGCCAGGCACTTCCAAGTAAGAAATGGCTCAGACTTCAGTCACAAGCACCGATTGGGTTTTCTTCAAAGTCTTCTGACAAGTATCAGCGGCACAGGCTCTGAAAAAAGCGAATCAAGTTTTCCCAGTAATGCTCGGGATGCGTACACATAAATAGCAGCGCAACGAACAGCGATGCTATACCAGACAATGCAAAGCGCGGTGACATATACTAACTGATGGCTGTTCAAAATCTCTTCAGTTCAAGGGCCGAACACCAATTCTAACCATCTGTCACTAGTCGAATACTACAGCTGTAAAGCCATGTTCTTGGGAGATTGAAAGTGGATTTATCGTCCGCCTTTCCTTCTCCTTTTCTCTATCCCTTTCTCTTTGTCTCTGTCTGGTTTCCACTTTTCTTCCTCTCTTCCTCGCTGCCTCTCTCTCTCTCTCTCTCTCTCTCTCTCTCTCTCTCTCTCTCTCTCTCTCTCTCTCTCTCTCTCTCTCTCTCTCTCTCTCTCTCTCTCTCTCTCTATCCCTGAGATCTCCATTCTATTGACGCTAACTAGTCTGCAGTCTCATATCGGCACCTTCATTTCCCTTCGTCGGATTTAGTCGAAAGTTGATACGACACCGATAATTAAATCCTGTGATTTAGCTCTAAGTTTTTGCTTATCACCAACTTCTGTCGACTGCTATAACAACAGAAGGAAGTTACGTGCAAAGTTGCTTGTAAGCTAACGTCTAGTCCATGTAGTTGAGCATCGGAAACGTTCGCTGAAGTCTGGTCTAAACAACAATGTCGATGTCTTTTGATGTTAGTTTCTTTTGCCATTATGATTGTATAACTATGTCAATTTTATTTGCAGCTAATTTAGACGTAAAATATACACATACCTACTTATTATCATGCTTAGCTTATGCAACTACAAATATATGTGCAGCCGTTTTAGATTCCTTGATTGGTAGCCATGTTATATGTTCATTAAAAATTAAAAACAAGAATTCGCGAAAACAACTTCTTGTTTATGATCCATGTGGTCGGCAGGAATGACATTAACTACATGACCATGGGGATGATCATTACATGACCTACAAAACTTAGGTACGGCTCGAGTATTTGTAATTATCTCCAGCTTCAGTTCACCACTGTGACTACTGGAACATTGCTCTTCGCTCTTCTTTGCTTTGAACGAAAGACGTGAAATTTTATCTACAATACTAAGCGCGCCAGTTATACTTTTTTCGTTGCTGTTAACTGTGTTTTGCCATACATTATAGCCAAATCAGAGCTCTTCCTTGAAGTCCGTCGCTGTTGGATGTTGGCGTTTCCGCCTTAATGATTTACTTGAATCGTATGCTTCGAGTTCCCAAAATATCTCGCTAATCTCCCACTGAATATCTATTGCTCTTTTGAAATAAATGCTTTTGAAGTTTCTTATAGGGATTATTATGTATCCTGTTTCGGCGTCATGAAATGCTTGTTGGTCATTGTCGTTGCGTGTGAACCCGTCCAACAGGGGAGGAGAGAGAAAGAAAGAAAAAGAGCGAGAGAGGGGAGAGAGAAGGAAAGAGAGAAGAGAGCGAGAGAGAGACAGAGGGAACAGACAGAGAGAAAGAGAGAGAGAGAGAGAGAGAGAGAGAGAGAGAGAGAGAGAGAGAGAGGAGAGAGAGAGAGGAGAGACAGAGACAGAGACAGAGACAGGGACAGGGACAGAGACAGAGACAGAGAGAGAGAGAGAGAGAGAGAGAGAGAGAGAGAGAGAGAGAGAGAGAGAGAGAGAGAGAGAGAGAGAGAGAGAGAGAGAGAGAGAGACCGTACCTCCGCAAAAGTCTGAACCAAATCCCTATCATTTCTCTCTACTCCTTTCTCTCTCTCTCTCTCTCTCTCTCTCTCTCTCTCTCTCTCTCTCTCTCTCTCTCTCTCTCTCTCTCTCTCTCTCTCTCTCTCTCTCTCTCTCTCTCTCTCTCTCTCTCCTCTTCTGCACCGGCAGCGCGGCCAATCCTGAAATAGACTTTCGGTCGGCCATCTCGCTCTGATGGATAATCGGCTCGAGCTCGATAGGTGCCCCGTTTTAATCTGCCGCCTCCCTTTCTCACCGCGTGGCAAACTGATTAAGCCCTCCGTCCGCTGTCTATGTGTGTGCGTGTCTGTGTGTAGGTGAGTGTGTGCGTATAAGGAGATAAGGTCGTGCGTTATATGTTTGTGCTTGTGATGAAGTTGCTTAAAAGTGCTCCTATAATCAAAGTGCGGCCAATGACCAAACTGAGTGATGGCAGTTGAAGGTGGACTAGAGATTGCGATTCAATTGAATTGAATGCAAAATGTATAACAGGTTTTCTGAAAGCGCAATACAGGAGCAATATTAAGCAAATAATAGCTTTATTACGATAAGTCTGGTAATAAAAAATATTAGTAGAGAGCTAAGTGTTCAAATTGCTGGTCCTCTGCCCCAATCCGACAGAGAAGCAACGGGCATGGACAGTGAACAATGAACATGCAATGAATTGCCACTCGGCGTGATGATGCAGGGTTCTTCAACCGGAAACCACAGAGCAGGATTTATTTGATGGGGCGGCACTAAAGCGCTTGGGAACGACTCCGAGGAAATGATTCTTCTGAGAAATTATGCAATACGTCGCTAAGGTGACGGAGTATCGATTGGTTATGTGCTCGATACTGCAACTGTGATTGCAGTTAGCCTAGGCTAATGTAGGGACATTGTGTTATTTGTGTGAGATTCCCTATCGGGACTTACTGGGACTGTGTAATGAGATTACTTAGCACGAGTTGATCTCTTAGTTCAGGAGCTTGTAGATAGGCAACTTTCAGCCTAATTAGAATAGCTTGTTTTTATTTGTTGAAAGGTGGGAGCGAACAAAGCGAGCAACACCTGAAAGTGATTTGTAATTTTTGCCAGTGTTGTGTATGTGCACTTTTGTTGATCGCTAGGTTTACGCGTAACCTTATCTTTTGTCTCTTTCCAGTTTCATGGCTGTTGTCATATGTCTCATCTTCAGTGTCTTGTCCACAATCGATCAATATCAAGAGTTTGCTGATGGTACCCTGTTTTGGATGGTAAGTAAAGGCCGCCCCACACCGGAACTCGCATGCGGGTTGCGAGTTTGCGGGTTTTGAGTTTGCGGGCATAATACTAATTCATAGAGTGATTACATCGTTCCCTTATGGTAACTTCATGAATGCAGTGGAGCCGGTACACCTTCAGAAAGTTACATATTGTCGAAATACCAGCATAACGAAACAAAATTAGACTCCAACGAAAAACTCGCAGACCTCGCAGAACCCGCAGACCTCGCAGCGAGGAAAATCGAAAGTTGACTTAAAACCAACTTTTGAAATGCGATGCAAGGTAGCTCGCAAGCTAAAAACATGCAGACTCGCTTGTTTGATGGTAGTGTGGGTCATTCAGCATAGATTGTGTTATTTAATTTTGAAGAAACCCGAAAACCCAAAAACCCGCAACCCGCATGCGAGGTCCAGTGTGGGGCGGCCTTAAGGCAAGATTTGCGGTTGAGTGTCGGTATTATAATGGCGCAAATTTCTATACCGTTCTGACACCTTGTGGTTAGAGTGAACGGCGTTTTTGCACATTTACCAGGAATTGCTCCCTCTGATATCTGTTCTAATAAGTTTATTGTTTCAAATTAATGACGCTCTACATAGAGTCATTTGCAATACTTTCCTTCCAATATATTGCATTTATCCAGCATCCTGCTGAGGTGAGGTTGTAAGCGAATTGCAGAACAGCAGTCACCTTCCATTTAGACTCACCATTTTGGCTTGGTCTTTCTCCATATTTTAGTGACCACTGATCCACCTTTGTAAAATATAGGTGCGCTGTAGTATTTGTTCACTAACTGATGCCTTTCGAACGCGCCGTCTCAGACACAATTGGTTCTCGAGATGGTGTGGATCGGTCTCTATCCTCGCTGTCAGACAGCCGTGGGTACAGAAATAGTCCGGGCAGTGTCGGTTTAATCACGAGTTATGGCTGCTGTAATTCATCGTTCCACACCACTCGATGCTACTATTGTGGTGCCCTTGTTATCTTTATTTGTGTTGTGTCGACTGACAACTAAATGTGACTTGCTTCAACTAAAATTTGCAAATGAAGGTTTCATTAAAGCCGTCTTTTTAGCTGTTATTTTTACTGAAATGGTTAAATTTTTTACATTTGCTAAATAATTTTCAAAATTATAACACGCTTAAAGTAATATCTCACCGAACAAGGGCCATATGTGTTTCAATGCCAGAAAATATAAAAGAACCAGTTTTGGTAAGACCACTTCCTTTTAGCGTTGATGTGCAATGTGCATAACAGAGAGGATCAAACCACTGCCTTCGCTGACAGCTTCTGGGCGTCGCTGTGTTTCAGGAGCTAGTGTTGGTGACGTTTTTTGGTGTGGAATATTTCGTTCGACTGTGGTCGGCGGGCTGCCGAAGTAAATACCGGGGCTTTCTCGGTCGAATTCGGTTCGCAAGAAAACCCATCTCCATTATCGGTGAGTACAACCAACCACACAATAATGGCAGCACGGACCAGGCTCCAGAGGATGGGTGAGCCTTGTCCGGTCGTATGTTGCATGCATTCCATCATTGGTCTGCAGTAATTCGTAGATTAGTGCCGAGACACGTCTCATTTTCTTGGCGCCGCACCAATTTCACACCTAATATGGCAGCGGAAACCAACGAACCTGTTCACAATATGCATGCAGATGAAGCCGTCTGCATACGAAATCCACGGAGACATATGGCTTCGTCTAATGGTTCCAGTCGCCGCCCGCGTTACCCCACGCGGCGGCCATCGACAGAAATTGGTGCGATCCACTGTGACAGACACAATTTCGCTTAATTTCCACGACGTGGTCAAAAGTTAACATTATTCAGCCAACAACGACAAATGTCTGTAAAAATGTACAGAAATGGCATGCTTTACGAGCTCGAAAATCATATCATTGAAGTACACAGGACAAAATTGGAAGGAAAAGTTTGAATATTGGGTCAACAAAGAATGTGATAAATGGTTATTGGTTAGCCGCATTTTCGAAACCAAACTTTTCCAAAATCCCAAAATTTCAAAACTTTTCCAAAATTCCTATGTGATATGGAGTATTTTTTTTTTCTCAGAAACTTTGACCTTTTGATTTCTCGCTTATCTGTTGTTTTTTTGTGTGACATCTCTGTCATATATGTAGATTAAAAGGAAAAGTAAATGAAACACATCTGAGTAAAATAAACAAAAATAACCACTGCTCCAAACACACCAATGAAAAGATGTTGGGTGTCAAATATTCACAAATGTATGGAGCATATTTTGAGAACAAGGTTATATCCCGTTAAGGCCTTCTTTCAAAATGTCTGCACAGTCAACTTTTACAATATTCGGAGCTACACGATCAAAGAAGATGCGAATTACAAACGGACTACAACAATGCCTAGCGAGATAGAAAATCTGTCATAACGCGTATTTCCTTCCTAATGCAAATCCAATAATTGAATACTGCATGTCAAAACGAAGACGCTGAGGCTGTTTTGACCAAAAGTAAGAAACGCAGAAAAATGAAGGTAAAACGCCACAAGGCACAACTTGTCTTTTTTAATGCGTTCACTTTAGATCTATTGATAGTTTATGAGATCACTGGGTTACCAGTGCCCAGTGGCAGCTGACTGCGCTGACTGCTCCCGTCTGTCCATCTGTCTGTCTGTCTGCTTGTCGGGCTGGCCATTGAACCGCGCAGTGCCGTGCTGTGGGTGCACCGGGCACGGGCCACCACTCGACCCTGCCGATCACCGGCGCCGCCCTTATTAAAGCGGCGTCGCGGCCGGCGGCGTCGCTTCCCGCCCGCCTGACCAATCAATGATCAAATCAATGGTGCGACCGTCCGAGTCCGGCTCACACCGAACGCACCGCCCCTCCACCGGCCCCTCCCCGGGCGGAGGGGGGGGGGGCCTCCAGTACCGAGGCGCCGAAACTCCAATATTGAGTCTCCAACCTCCAGTGATGAGACTCGGACCTCCAGTACTGAGGCCCTGACCTATCTTGTGGTTCATTGGTGCTTGGGGCTGTACTTAGGACTCAATGTGCTGACCTGTGCTAATGCCTGACCCCAGGCATGCAGCATTCAGGCTTCACATAGCATATATAAATAGCTTCGAGTCCGACCTCCAGAACTGAAGTCCCATGACCTCCAGTTCAAAGGTCCAACGGTGTTGTCTTTTGTATGTGCGTAGTGCGTACGAAGGACCCACAGTTGGCTGATCTACCAGAGATGTCAATCGGAAACCAGACGAGGTGGCCATGCCTTTGTGAATGTGTTCCACCGTCCATCCAGCCATCACTCCTCTTTACTTCCATCCACTCTCCACGATTCCCCTCCTTCCGCCACGTCACCCGTTTTCACTCGCTTAGACTCCCCGGAGTAGGAAGGCAAGAGAGACGAGAAGCCGATTACCAGCCAGCAATGGAGCGGATAGGGCAGATGGCAACAAAAGCTTCACCTAGCGAAACAAAAGTGTAAGGATGGCGCTAATATAAGGTTGCTGATAATTCAATGTGCATGGCTAAATAAGATGACGTTGATTGACAAGACGCTGATCACGTTGATAACCAAATACGTGAGTCAGCCTTTAGTTCCCAACGCTAACCCTGTATAGAAGATACAGTTAAACTGCTTTTTACCGAATCATAGCGAACGGAAGACATTTACAAGGATACATGCCCAACCGCTCCCAATCGTTTGACATAAATGGAAGGTCACGTGGACGTCACGTCTTTGAAGTTAGCTGTTCAGCTTACTACCAAGGCTAAGCCGTCTGTAATGCAATTACTCAGTTAATACTGCCAACATCAACATCGCTGCGAGTAATGCACGCAAATCCACTTGTTGCACCCCTACAGCCCAGAGTGACAGCCTCGTTCCTGAGTGACTGATGCGTTCACGGCCGCCAAAAAAGGTCCAGCGACGACGACAATGTCTCCAGAGGTCCCCTGGCCGCCACTGCCGTCACGGCCAATGACAAATGTATGTGCCGCGCGGCCGCGCGTGTCCCGTCCGCCATCGACCGCCGGGACTCACAACGGGGCCGACCGGTGCCGAAACGGGCGCTCCGCGGGCACCCCCGGCGCGCCGGAGGCTACGGCCATTAGGGTGAGGGGCAGACAGCGTCAGACCGACCGCGTAACGGCCCGCCGGCGCATAATGTGATGATGAACATATGCGAACGGCTTCAGCGCGTGCACAGGTGCCTCAGGATGAAATGGATAGAAAAGATTCAGGGTTTTGGTTTGGAAGGAGCATTTCATGCAACAGGCAACAGACGTGGATTTGAAAAGAAGTTTTTGTGGTTGAATGGGATCCCAGCAAAAGGGATGGGAGATATTCAATACCGTTCGCCCTGAATACATTCAATTCTAACGACCCGAAGACGGTTAGAGCCGCTTCGGGTGGCCCGGCCGGTTTATAGTCACCTCTGCGTTCACTGATGGATTGCCTTCGCATTCTCTTCCCCAGTCAACATTACCGTGCTCTATTCATAAGTCAATGGTCGCGCCTGAAGCAGCGGCCATTATCTCAGGTTCCGACCCCCGCGGAGGCGGCCGGGCCGTGCTGACCTTATGGAACTGGTGGTGAGGTCAGCCCTCCATCGGCCGCCAAAGGTCAGTGCGCTGCCGGCGAGAGGCAATATCCGTCCGCGCATTGATTAGGGGATCATTTTGTGCTCTTCCTCTCGTCCGGTGCAGCTGAGAGCTGTGATAATGGGTCTTCGAACGGCTCCGCGGTACACGCCACTCGACGGGCTCGCGATATGACAGCACTTTAGTGCGCAGGGATGGTATTGGCACGCACGTCTGTAGCGCCCTCTCTGCAGCGCTGTGGAGGATGGGTCACAGGTGCCCCCTTCCCCCATCCTGCTGGGCCAGTCACGATTCATTAGGACGCCGCCCCTGACGCCCACCGACTCAGACGGTACCGTATGGGCGCCGTGTGCTCACGCAAAGGTCGACTTGATGACGTGTTCTGGCCCGGAAACGGATGGCAACATCGACGATGAAAAATGCCTATGGAAGAAAACCATTTGTTCACATTGATCGTGAACAGGAGCTGTGAGTCTAAAAATATGAACGATTATGTTTAGCTATGTACTGTTTTCCAAAGGTTTTGTAGTATATCCGCCATACCAAGAAGTGTTGCATCCTGATATTTCAAGAAAAACCCGTACGCAGTAGCACGTTTTCTTGGTATGATCAAGTCTTTTTTGTCATTCCGCTGTCAGCATCAACATAACGCCGAGACAGAAAATCTTTTTGGCCATTACCTGATTTAGCACGGTAAAGTCCCTGTGTCTGAAGCGTCAGCTTCTCGGCGGCCATCCCGGAGGAACGACGCATTTGCTGTATTAATATCTGCATTATGATTGGTCACTGACAATGCGGAAGAGAACGAATGTCTCACAAAAAAAAGAGACACGGGCACTACCACGGCAATGCCTTTTACGATTTGCAGTGTGTGTTGGGTGCGAAGGCTGACGTCGCCGCCCGGGCCCCGCCGGCCGCCCCGCGCTGACCCGCGCGGCCCGCTGTGTACTCGACTAACGTCTGCCGAGGCCAGCCTGTTTGCGCCGGGACCATATCGCCGCGGGCTATATATAGCCGTCGGCGATAGGCGGCCGACTGACTGTCCGAACGGCCGGCCCGCCGACCACTTTGTCTTATGGGTCGCCGCCGGCAACTGAGGGCCCCCCGGGGCGCTCACTCGGCAAATGGCTTGACACCTGACTATCAGAAAGCTTTTCTTGAGACGACTTGTTTTCGCAGTTCTAATGCTTTTACAAATTACCAGTGACCATGGTGGACTTAAAAATGTTGGCAATAGGAGAATTTAAGTCTGAAATAGGAAAAGCATAAACATTAAACAGATATAATGCATTTCCGTTATATTGAATTAAGATACAATATTTTGTTCGTTGATTCAACTTTTCTAAATCACAGAAGCAATGCGTAGTGCATTTAATCAATAGGAAAATACCTCACAAAATAATTGAATAATTGAAAATAAGAGGCTTTAACGGATGAATCTGATAGTCTTTTTATCCTATATGTCTCGTGAGCATTTCAAATAAAATGATGAAAACATTATAATGTCCTGTAAAACAAGGGCCGCCGTTCTAATGCCAAGGGCAAATGTTGTCGAGATGAGAAATCGCCCTCCACCTTATTTTGCAGTGCTGGATCAAATGCACAACCCGGACTACATAAAAATTTATTCCTAATATCCACAGCTGGACAAAAGAAACACCAACTTACTTCATTTCACCCTCCATTCCGTCACTCATCTTATCCTCTGTTTATCTCTTCTGCGAGAAACTCGACAGATATGCAAAACACTGACGACCTTTCCCGCAGGGATGAAACGAAATTCCGACAGAAAACAATCGCTAGAAGCAGAAAAGGAGAAATTTCCGGCAGGACCAAAGATAAGGATATGAAATAAAATACCACCAT